CACTGAGCGGTGCATTAAGGACATAAGCTTTCTACTATCCGCATAATCACTACTGTCAACTTTCAACTATATTTTCTCTAGGAACATATCTAAATAGTGGAACTAAAGCGCGAGCTTACGACATAATTTGCAAAGATCTTTTGACTATGTTCAAGATAATTAAGTTCATCTCATGAACTCCCACTCAGATAGACATCCCTCTAGTCATCTAAGTGATTACATGATCCGAGTCAACTAGGACGTGTCCGATCATCACGTGAAACGGACTAGTCATCATCGGTGAACATCTTCATGTTGATCGTATCTACTATACGACTCATGCTCGACCTTTTGGTCTCTTGTGTTCCGAGGCCATGTATGTACATGCTAGGCTCGTCAAGTTAACCTAAGTGTTTCGCGTGTGTAAATCTGGCTTACACCCGTTGTATGTGAACGTAAGAATCTATCACACCCGATCATCATGTGGTGCTTCGAAACGATGAACTTTCGCAACGGTGCACAGTTAGGGGGAACACTTTCTTGAAATTTTAATGAGGGATCATCTTATTTACTACCGTCGTTCTAAGCAAATAAGATGCATAAACATGATAAACATCACATGCAATCAAAAAGTGACATGATATGGCCAATATCATTTTGCTCCTTTTGATCTCCATCTTCGGGGCTCCATGATCATCATCGTCACCGGCATGACACCATGATCTCCATCATCATGATCTCCATCATCGTGTCTCCATGAAGTTGTCTCGCCAACTTATTACTTCTACTACTATGGCTACCGGTTAGCAATAAAGTAAAGTAATTACATGGCGTTGTTCAATGACACGCAGGTCATACAATAAACAAAGACAACTCCTATGGCTCCTGCCGGTTGTCATACTCATCGACATGCAAGTCGTGATTCCTATTACAAGAACATGATCAATCTCATACATCACATATCATTCATCACATTCTTCTTGGCCATATCACATCACATAGCATACCCTGCAAAAACAAGTTAGACGTCCTCTAATTGTTGTTTGCATGTTTTACGTGGCTGCTATGGGTTTCTAGCAAGAACGTTTCTTACCTACGCAAAACCACAACGTGATATGCCAATTGCTATTTACCCTTCATAAGGACCCTTTTCATCGAATCCGTTCCGACTAAAGTGGGAGAGACTGGCACCCGCTAGCCACCTTATGCACCAAGTGCATGTCAGTCGGTGGAACCTGTCTCACGTAAGTGTACGTGTAAGGTCGGTCCGGGCCGCTTCATCCCACAATACCGTCGAAACAAGATTGGACTAGTAACGGTAAGCATATTGAACAAAATCAACGCCCACAACTACTTTGTGTTCTACTCGTGCAAAGAATCTACGCAATAGACCTAGCTCATGATGCCACTATTGGGGAACCTAGCAGAAATTCAAAAAAATTCCTACGTGTCACCAAGATCTATCTATGGAGAAACCAGCAACGAGGGGAAGGAGAGTGCATCTACATACCCTTGTAGATCGCTAAGCGGAAGCGTTCAAGAGAACGGGGTTGAAGGAGTCGTACTCATAGTGATCCAAATCACCGGAGATCATAGTGCCGAACGGACGACACCTCCGCGTTCAACACACGTACAGCCCGGTGACGTCTCCCACGCCTTGATCCAGCAAGGAGAGAGGGAGAGGTTGAGGAAGACTCCGTCCAGCAGCAGCACAATGGTGTGGTGGTGGTGGAGGAGCGTGGCAATCCTGCAGGGCTTCGCCAAGCACCGCGGGAGAGGAGAAGGGAGAGAGGTAGGGCTGCGCCAGGGAGAGGTCAAACTCATGTGTTGGCAGCCCCAAAACCCCTCAAGTATATATAGGGAGAGGGGGGCTGCGCCCCCACCTAGGGTTCCACCCTAGGGGCGGCGGCCAGCCCAAGATCCCATCTGGGGGCGGCCAAGGGGGGAAAGAGGGGAAACTTGCCCCCCAAGTTAGGTGGGTGCGCCCCCTCCCCCAACCCTAGGCGCCTTGGGCCCTTCTCGGGGGGCGCACCAGCCCACCTGGGGCTGATCCCCTCCCACACTTGGCCCATGCAGCCCTCCGGGGCCGGTGACCCCACTTGGTGGAGCCCCGGGACCCTCCTGGTGGTCCCGGTACGTTACCGATAAAACCCGAAACTTTTCCGGTGACCAAAACAGGACTTCCCATATATAAATCTTTACCTCCGGACCATTCCGGAACTCCTCGTGATGTCCGGGATCTCATCCGGGACTCCGAACAACATTCGGTAACCACATACAAACTTCCTTTCTAACCCTAGCGTCATCGAACCTTAAGTGTGTAGACCCTACGGGTTCGGGAACCATGCAGACATGACCGAGACGTTCTCTGGTCAATAACCAACAGCGGGATCTGGATACCCATGTTGGCTCCCACATGTTCCACGATGATCTTATCGAATGAACCACGATGTCAAGGACTCAATCAATCCCGTATACAATTCCCTTTGTCTAGCGGTATTGTACTTGCCCGAGATTCGATCGTCGGTATGCCTATACCTTGTTCAATCTCGTTACCGGCAAGTCTCTTTACTCGTTCCGTAACACATCATCCCTTGATCAACCCCTTGGTCACATTGTGCACATTATGATGATGTCCTACCGAGTGGGCCCAGAGATACCTCTCCGTTACACGGAGTGACAAATCCCAGTCTCGATTCGTGCCAACCCAACAGACACTTTCGGAGATACCTGTAGTGCACCTTTATAGCCACCCAGTTACGTTGTGACGTTTGGTACACCCAAAGCATTCCTACGGTATCCGGGAGTTGCACAATCTCATGGTCTAAGGAAATGATACTTGACATTAGAAAAGCTTTAGCATACGAACTATGATCTTTGTGCTAGGCTTAGGATTGGGTCTTGTCCATCACATCATTCTCCTAATGATGTGATCCCGTTATCAACGACATCCAATGTCCATGGTCAGGAAACCGTAACCATCTATTGATCAACGAGCTAGTTAACTAGAGGCTTACTAGGGACATGGTGTTGTCTATGTACCCACACATGTATCTCAGTTTCCTATCAATACAATTATAGCATGGATAATAAACGATTATCATGAACAAGGAAATATAATAATAATAACTAGTTTATTATTGCCTCTAGGGCATATTTCCAACAACACCCCCCATATCCAGCCCAAATATGGGGCGGATATGGGGGGTGCCCGAGTGTGTCCCGGCACACCCGCCACGTTGGACTGATGAAGGGGTCCCAGCCGGAAACGCCCTCAAACCCGGAGGTTTGAAGCTCGTCTCCTCTGTCGGGCCGGTGGCGCCGCGTGGCGCAGCTCCGGCAGGCCACGTAGTGTATTGCCTGGCTATTTAAGTCGACCAGCGGTACCGAAACCCTATCATCCATCCATATTTTCCTCCTCATGTTCGCTGCCGCCGCCACTTTTCACTCCACCCGTCCGCCTAGTAGACATGCCCCCACGTCGTCGGGTGAGGAGCGAGCCTTTTCTGACGCCAGAGCACCGGCTCGAGCTCCTTCAGCAGATCCGAGCTAGGCGCGAAGCCCGGATCGCCACGGGGCTACCTCCGGATGCAGTGGATCCGGAGGAGGAGGTGAAGGAGGACGGGGATGAGGATGAGGACTTTGAGGAGGAGGAGGATAAGCCGGAGGAGGAGGATGTGGGGCGCGCTGGCGATGTGCATCTGCAGGCGAAGCAGCAGGCCATCCTCGATTCCCTTCGGTTGGAGTCGGCTGCAGAGGCAAGACGCCGTCGCCGGCGGGAGATGAAGGCGCAAGAGGCGGCAGAGGAAGCGGAGATGTTCGCCTGCATGGATGAGGTCGAGCAGGAGGAGGATGAGCCGGAGCCCTCCTACCGCCCATCCAGTCGGTGCTCGGCACCTTCGTCGTAGACATCCCCGACAATGAAGAATATAGTACGTAGGATCTCTTTCGCATGGTTTGTATGGATTTAGAGTATGAAATATCAGAAAAACGGATGCAAAATGCCTAATTTAAAGCATGACGGACGCGTCCGCGTGTTTTGATGGCCGGATTTGCAAAGTTTGGCTGTAGATGCTCTTAGGCTTGGGTCCGCGGTTAGGCGGGCACTTTGGTGTGTTTCGGTTGGAGTTGCTCTTAGTAATAAGCCCCAAAATGCTAGACGTACGGGAAGCTTTTACAAGAGTTAACGGACTAACCCTCTCCCCTCACTAATCTCCCCCCTGATTTTCAGGGTGGGGCCCACTTCATCTTAACAACCAATCAACAAATCCCACCTAAGCCTAGCCTGTAAAGCTCCTGTAAAACCCCTGTAGATGTAGCATTGCTGGTAATAAGCCATATTTGGTCCAGCAACCGATGTCTGCTGGTGGCTTTGTCTCCGTCCCTCCAAAGGAGCGATAGCGATACCATTCCTTCCTCCACGGAGCGATGGAAGACACGACGCCGCCCGCCGACGAGAGGCCGCTGGTGCTCCTGGGGCAGCCGCTGTTCCCGGAGTTCGCGGCCGCGCTGGCCGCGCGCTTCCGGTTCGTCCTGGTCGCCGACGCCGACGCCGCGACCCTGGCCCAGGGGAGGGCGCTGCTCATCGGGCTCAACCCGGTCACGGACGACCACCTGGCCGCGCTCCCGGCGCTCGGGCTCGTGGCGGGCATCTCCGTGGGCATCAACCACGTCGACCTCGCCGCCTGCCGGCGCCGCGGGATCGCCGTCACCAACGCAGGCGCGGCCTTCGCGGTCGACACGGCCGACTACGGCGTCGGGCTCGTCGTCGCCGTGCTCCGCCGGTTGGCCGCCGCCGACGCCCACGTCCGGGCCGGCAGGTGGGCGGCCGACGGCGACTATCCTCTCACCACCAAGGTAGCTACTCCGTTAGTTGTCTAGTTCTTGGATACCACTGCTCTGGACGACTCTGTTTTTTAGTAGTAGTGCTCTGTTCTTCTTCCCCTTCGCTTGGCTCACTACCTACCTACCGAACCCACCACCGATTGAGGAGATGCGGCCGCCGGCGCGAACCCAAGCCGATGCCTCCCGGCCTGTCGTGCTCCTGGCCGACCCCATCATCCCGGAGTTTGAGCTGGACCTCTCAGCTCGCTACTGTCTCCTTCCTCTCGGCGCGGGCGCTCCTTACAGTCGAGCTCCCGGCGGTGACCGCGGAGCTCATGGGCGCGCTCTCAAAGCTGGAGCTCGTACTCGCCTCGTCCGTCGGCGTTGACCACGTCGATCTTGCCGCCTGCCGCCGCCGCGGGATTGCCGTCACCAACGCTGGGGGCGCGTTCTCTGACGACGCGGCCGACTACGCCGTCGGGCTTGTCATAGCCGCTCTCTGCCGAGTCGCCGCTGCAGACGCGTACGTCCGGCGCGGCAGCTGGCCGGACGGCGGGGACTATCCCCTCGCCTCCAAGGTTAATTTTACCGGGGATCCCCATCAATCGCGGTAGCTAGAATTAGTTGCTCTTGGCCATCCCCGCAAAATTTATGCAATTGCAACTTTGCAACGCGCCCAAATTATTCCAACAAGCAGAGAATTTTGATCAGCAGAGTCTTATGATGCAATCGATGGCAGGTGAGTGGCAAGCGGGTGGGGGTCGTGGGGCTGGGCAACATCGGCTCCCGCATCGCGCGGCGGCTCGCCGCCTTCGGCTGCGCCGTGTCCTACAACTCGAGGTCGCCCAAGCCGTCGGCGGCGTACGAGTTCGTCCCCACCGTGCGCGACCTCGCCGCAGCCAGCGACGTGCTGGTGCTCTCCTGCGCGCTGACGGAGGAGACGAGGCACGTGGTGAACCGGGAGGTGATGGAGGCGCTGGGGAAGGACGGCGTGCTGGTGAACGTCGGCCGCGGCGGCCTCGTGGACGAGCCGGAGCTGGTCAGGTGCCTGCAGGAGGGCGTCATCGGCGGGGCCGGCCTGGACGTGTTCGAGAGCGAGCCGGACGTGCCGCCGGAGCTCTTCTCCATGGACAACGTCGTGCTGTCGGCGCACAGGGCCGTGGCCACGCCGGAGTCCATCCGCGGCACGATCGAGCTCGTCGCCGGCAACCTCGATGCCTTCTTCGCAGGGAAGCCACTGCTCAGCCCCGTGGAGCTCTGAAACAAGGACACCATCTGTCTGAATAAATTGCAGAACTCCTTGATGTATATGTAGTTCAGTGTAATCCAGCCTCTGAGTGAATAAAATCTGTGAGCGACCGGTCAGCAATTCAGGTTCGTTAAGAACAAGTATTACTATTACATGACCATATCTTATCAATACCGGAAAAGTATCATATGAAACTAACATTTGGTGGAAACGGGTGAAAACCACGCGAAAATGATGTTTCAAAGTTCTGGAAAAATCTCAAAAAAATACGGGATGGTAAGAGAGTGATGTTCTATTGAATCGCAAAATTTCAAGTGCAAACACATTACTAGATATGAGCTATGAAAAAAATAAATCAATATTGAATAGTGCTGAACAGTAATGTCACTATTTATAGCGGAATTTGTCTTTTTCATAGCTCGCATCCCGTAAGGTGTTCTAACTTAAAATCTCACATGGAAATAGAACATCATCCTCTTAACATTGCACTTTTTTCAGATTTTTTTTGAAACTTTTAAACATGGTTTTCACGAAGTTTTCTTCGAATATTGGTTTCTGCATGACATTCTCCCATCAATACGAGGCCACAAGGGCCTGTTAAATTGACGCAGTGTGCCTCAAATATTTCTTTTTGTGTGTCCTTAATTTATTGTTCCTGGGATTTTTTGTGTGTGGATTGAGAACCTTGCTAAAGTTTCTACTCTACATGTTCCTAAATCCACTTTATTTATTGTGAATAATACATTCAAAAAGTTTGTTCTTACTCATCCATGTTTAATTTCTGCAATTGACACAATTTGTAGACACAATGTGTCGAGGTGATTGTCTATTCAACATTTTCCTTGTGTGCAGTGGCGGAGCTTCACAAAGCTACCTGGGCGGGG